CTGGCACCATTGTTAGGATCGATGTGTGTACCTCTGTGTGTAACCATAGATCCGGTTAGCCTCCTTGACGTTTCTCTTTGCGGCACAGCAACGTAGACACCGGTGCCGCGGTGTAGAAGGCGTCCAGCGCGGTGGGGTGAAGTCCAGTGGCTCTGGTGGAGAGACGGCGGTCCGGTGGTGACCCTGCAGTGGGCCGACGGCGGTGGTTGGGCACATCCCGTCGCTTCCAGCATTACTTTAGATCGGTTTTAGGGTTTCTCTGTTGAGTGGTTGGCGGCTCCGATGAACCTCATAGCCTGAGCCCTCACCCCCACCTTCCTTTTATGTGTGCTGTGCGACAGGGGTCCACCAACCAGATTAGGGTTGGGCTCCCCCAATCAAGGAGCAGAGATAAGGGCCCAATAGGCCGTTGGGCCTATTGATGGAGATCAACTAACATGCTTGTCATACATCCTCTTTATCTGCAACAAAGAGCAACAACATACACAAATCAAAAACCATGAAGTAGTGACATGCCTCCCTACACTAAAATATGAAAGACGTAAACGTAATATACTCAAAAAATTAGCATCCTAGTTATTATTGCCAAGCCTTGCTATCGTATAGCTGAGAAGCATAAATCCTCCACTTACACTTCTTGCTCTTGATCTTGGAACACTTGTAGTATGTTCTATACCTTGTTGTCTCATTGTTCTCATTGTTGGGTCCGACAATTTCAAACTCATTAAGTACTACAAATTTCCTAATATCCCTCTTAAAGGTGTCCTCATCCTCAAATGTGACCCCGCAAGCTATCGTGTGGTTTTCTAAGTTTTTTTGCGAGGAGTTTTCTAAGTTATTTACATGTCCAAAAGCCACACATCCTACTTAATCATCAACAGAGTGCTCATCCTGATAACTAGAGTAAGAGTCAGAAGGTTCATATTTTGAGTTTATATGGTCATGCAGCAGCCCATCATTCATCCGAACATATTCTTCATCATCTTCTTCCAATGGTTCATCATCATCCACAACCTTTTTCCTACGTTTTCTCTTCTTTCCTATACCTGCTATTGTTTTCTCAGCAAAGCCACCATGCCCCTAGGGGACACCAATTGAGTCACTATCATCAGCAACACCATCATCCTCTTCCGCACCAATGTTAGTGTCACCAGCGCTGGGAAAGGCAATATCAACATCTAGCACATGGGGAGCAATAGATAGACCTGGCTCATCATCAATAGACACACTTTAACTAGGCCACTACAATTGTCATATATGCTCACAACCACATGTAGCCTCCTTAGAACCCAGTACATGTCAATAGCCTCCATCAAAATTGTGATAGAATGATATTGGAGTAAGACATGGTCTCCTTGTTGAAGAATGACAAATGAATGCCTTGATTCCGTCCATGAGACACTTTATCTGCTATATCATTTGTCAAATCTTTCAAATTCGTAGTGTCCCTATCCACCACTAGTTGAAAATCTTCAAAGACATGAGACACGTGCTTACCATCATTGCAAACCTCATGATAAGGTGGGACACACGCCGCATTTCATAAAGCAGAACTAGTGTCCAACCTAAAAGATGGACAAGAATAAGAAGCATGAAATCCTTGGATTCGGTTGAACACGTATTTCTAAGAAGCGTAGGGCAAATCCATCATGAAACCGTTGCAACAAGGACCACCTGTGCACCAAATTAAACAAGAAGAGGAGGAAACGACATACCTTATAGGGACAAATTCGCTCCTTTCAACGGTGAATCTATGCTCGGCCAGATCTTCTCCAGTTTTGTTGGTGAGGCCATCTTCATACATCCATTTATTTGCTGGGTACTGGATGATGCGACAGTCAGCCATTGTGGCAGTGGCGGGTGAGCTAGCGCTTGTGGCGGTGATGGCGGGCAGCCGAGAGGGCGCTTTTGGGGTGGCGGAAGTTAGGGAGTAAGCTTTGCCTAGTAGGGTTCGTTGAATGGACTGACTTAGGTCTGGGTTGGTCAAGATTAAACTTGATCTAGTTCGACCAACTCAGGTCTAGCTAGGTTGTCATCCCTTGCTTCGGGGCACCAGGTGTTGTTTTGGAAAATTTCTATTTCCTCCTGACTGTCAAAATGAATATTTTACTGCATATGGTGTCTAATGGCAAAGAAGCATGATTTTATAATGGTAGTGGGCAAATTAACGGGTTGATAGTGTGCATCCACAAATACCACATTTAAGCGGTGTTTGTTACAAATTTTGCCTTTCAAAAGGATGTCTTGGGATTTCCATAACCCCAGGTAGAATCTCACCAGCTTGGATGGAGCAGGGATTTTTTTAATCAAAATTTTCGAGTCTGTTGCAATTGGAATGGGCCTTCATAATGCCATTATCAGTATCTACAGTGGAATACGATTTTACAAGAGCACTTGGTCCGTGGCCAATGAGCACGTGCTCTAGCTCGCGTTTGCATGCAGCTAGCGTGACTAGCGATCGTGTCAACTGATCGTGATCGACGATGACAGTGATGCCATAAATAAACCCGAGACATGGTCATGTCGCCACATCGGCCGGAGCCATGCATGCCACATTGCCACGCGATGCGACGCGACGTCGACGACCGAAGGAGAATAAAATCACAGCGCATCCACTGCGAATCTCCGAGCGTACTCGCTATGGAGAAGACAAGATCTTTCGAGGACGACGATACTGACGCGCAACACCATTATTGCAGCCGATAGGTCGAGCTCCGTCCTGCGCGTGGCGAATTGAAGTGGCGACGATGGTGCAGGACGGGAGCAGGACCACGGGTGCACGACTCCACGAGGGCATCACATGTCCATACGACGATGGAGGAAGACAGTGCAAGATGGATCCATGACGACGACAGTGATGCGCACTGCCATTGCTGCCGACTGGTTGATAGATGGAGCATTCAAGCGTCGATAATGGTGCAGAGGATCGGAGGACCACGAGCGCATCATGTACGACGTACGCGCGCGTCCTCGCCCAAAGCGGTGACAGGGTTTTGATTTCTTGTTGGGCCCTTTGCGCATGGCAGCTGAGAGCATATCTAGGATCCTCCTCGGTGAGGACTGAGGAGGCTCTCTTTCAGCTTTGAGAAGGTAGTGCGCTAGTAAATGAGAAAAAAAAACACAAGCCCCTTATTTTCAGACAGTCAAGACGAATTTATATGGAGCAGATTATGATGAGTACAGGTGATAATAGGCTGGATATTTTCGGACCGCCCGTATCGTTATCTGCACTCAGGTATTCAGAGGAGGATCTCACATATTCAAGGGAGGAGCCACTATTACATACAATGTTTTTAGAAACAGGCAAATGTAGTTTTCTGAGGCGGTTCTACAGCCCATGAGCAGTTATTACGCAAAAAAAAAGACCACGAGCAATTAAAACGTCTGCCTCTATAAATCAATCTATTAAAAATTGAAAGCAAATTTGCTTCATAGACGACTACAGGCGCACATCTAGCGCTGCTTCTTCCCTTTCTGCACGCGACAACATCACATGAACAAATCAATCAAGAGTCGAAGTAGAGCGCAAAGGATGAGGGTTGACAAAGAGAAGTCGAGGCACCCGCTCATGGGCTGCTCCTTGTAGGAGGCGGATCTCGATGTCCACTAGGCATGGAGCACCGTCCCCGATCTCTTCGACGAGGGACCCGCCATGAGAAATGGAAATAGAGGTACAGTATTCGCCATTAGAGAAGCAAGGCATGAACACCACGGAGAAATTGATGAAAAGAACAAGGATGTATGAACCTACATAAAACCGAGGGGAAGCAGGGGCACCGATGAACAACGAACATAACACGGTGGACTGAGGGGCGTGAGATTGACCATGGCTGCGTCCTCGACTTGGGGCTGCCTCCTAGGCCATGCACAAGATGTGCTGCCGCCGTTTAACTCGTAATAACTTGTAAAGGTCCACCGTATATGCTTAGAAGCCAAGTAACCTATAAAAATTCACCCGGACCTAATTAGATTTCCCTGTAACAAAAGTAGAAAACCATATCTATGAGTCTATGAGGACTCCAACCCTCATCCTCTGGACTATATAAAGAGGAATACAAGAGCCTTGATTGACAATCCACAATACCCAACATGTAATCTCTGCACAAACATCATCAGCACCCCTATAATCCAAACACAAACATATAAAGAAGCATTCTCAATTGGACATAGGGTACTCTATACATAAACTAGTATAAATTCGGGCCATTATTGGACAAAAAAATCCTATGACTCCCAGACCGTCGTGCTAGCCTGACTTGTGCCGGCCTTGCCTATGTCGATGCACCCATAGGGCAAATCGGACCACAACCGTGGGTTGAACCTATGGATGCATGGTAAAGCTCCTTTTTTTTAGCTCCCACTCCTACTCACACTTCTCTCAATGCATTTTTTAGAGTGGAGCCATTCGACGTGGGAGCGGTCATGGAGCTACTCCTCAAGCACTACCAAATGTGGCTGTAGTTGTCCTTACAGTCATATTCATGCTAGCCCCCGGCCCTATGCCGCCCCTACGATGGAGAGCCTATAGGAAATGACAAGCATTTTTACCTATAACCTCCATCCACAAAAGAATACAATTCTCATATTTTGAGGCGTCAAATAGGTTAAACTTTTACTAAAATTATATAAAAATATACTAATAGTAATGAAACAAATTAAGTACCATTAGATTAGTTATAGAATATGTTTTTATAATAAATTTAGTTAGAGACATAAACGTTAATACTATTTATTGTAAACTTGGTTAAAGTTAAACTAGTTTGATCGACACGTTTTATATAATTGTATTTTTTTGGGGACGGAGGGAGTAGTTGATAGGCCAACGTAGACCTACAATTTATGCATGCCGCACACATGCCTAAATCAATCAATCAAACGATCAAACAATCAAACAATAAGCCTTGCTTGCTCTCTTCTATATACTCCTATATATAACTGAACCTTGATTGGTTCTCATCTATGCATAGTCAGTCGCGGAGACGAGGAGAGCAATAGCAAATATGGCCATGAGCAGCTCCTCCGGCCAGTACTACTCTCCATGGCGCGGCGGCGCAACGACGACAACGCTGCTCCTGGCACTAGCCGCCGGCGGCCTCCTGCTACCGATGACACTGGCACGAGGGTCCTCGGGTGAAGACGACCGGATTCTGGGCCTGCCAGGGCAGCCGAACGACGTGGCGTTCGACATGTACGGGGGCTACGTCACCGTCGACGAGCAAGCTGGCCGCGCGCTCTACTACTGGTTGCAAGAGGCCGACAAGACGGCGGTCGAGGACCCGGACACCGCGCCGCTCCTCCTCTGGCTCAACGGCGGGCCGGGCTGCTCCTCCATCGGCTCCGGCGCGCTGGAGGAGCTCGGCGCGTTCTGCGTCCACGAAGACGGCGAGAGGCTGCTGCTGAACGAGTACGCGTGGAACAGAGGTATGAACTGGGTCACAAAGCAAACCTGTCGAGATGTGCAGTGAAACTCACATGTAAAAGGCATGCAGCGGCGAACGTACTGTTTTTGGAGTCGCCGGCCGGCGTGGGGTTCTCCTACAGCAACACCAGCTTCGACCTAATCGTCGGCGACAACAGAACGGGTTGGTCATGAATGAAGAATATATATGACAAATATCACCCATCTTCAGTCTGAAACTTCATTTAGGAGCCGCGAAGAGCAACTTTAGTAAAGCGTGTCATTGAGCTACCCTCACTTAAGGGGTAGGTTCTTGCGGCGCCCGACGTGCAGACTTAGCGGGTGATGCTAATTAGCCGCCGAACCACCAAGTGAGCGGTCGACACAACGGGGACTAGCGTGTTGGCAAACACGTGAACCTCGGGAGAAAAATCATCATGTCAACCTTGTTCTTCCCGTTGGTTTGCTTCCCCATTACACAAGCTTGCATTTAGTTTCATATATATTAAGCTTGTGTAGTTGCTCTTGTAATTAGTTTGCTTGTGTAGCATAGAAGTAGCTCCCTTGCGTGGCTAATTTGGTTTGAGTAACCTTGTTAGTCACATTGCTTAGTTTGTGTAGCTAAGTATTTGCGCTCTCTAATTTGGCATTGGTTGCCTTGTTATTGAGCATTGCTAGTGAGCTTAGGTGGCTTTGTGCTTTTGCTTACTAGCATATGTAGGAGCTCCCTTGTCGCTTAAAGTACTAGTGGCATAGGTTTGTGTGACCTTGCTCCTAGAATTGCTTAGGTGAGCTCTAGCTAGCCCGGCACCTTAATTGCTTAATTAGTATATTTGAAAGGTGCTAAAGAACATAGATAGAGGGGTGTAGTCTTGGCTAGACCGATAGTTTTAATTCCGCACTGTTTCGGTTAGCCGACGCGATTAAGTTTTAAAAAGGACTATTCACCCCCCCTCTAGTCGCCATCTCGACCTTTCATGTGGTATCAGAGCCCGGTCTCTCATTTGTGGTCTTCACCGACCCGAGAGGATAGCGCCTAATGGGCTAGATGGTTGTGAGAATCACATTTTCGATGGCACAAACTTTGCACTTTGTAAAAATCACATGCTTGATCATTTTCGTGCAAAGGGACTTAAATTTTGGTGGGTTGTCACTAGTGGTCTCACCCATGTCTTGGATCATAGAACTCTAACCAAAGCTCAAAGAGTCCTCTAAGAATTTGATGCACATGCTTGTTGTTTTCTATTGGATGCTTTACATTTTGATTTGATGAAGCAAGTAAACTACAAGGGGACCACTCGTGAGATATGGGACTCCATCAAGGACACCCTCGGTGATTCCTCCACATGGGATGATGGTAAATTCAAAAAGGAGGATGAGCCCAAGAAGGAGACACATGAGTGTGTAGAGCATAACCACAATTTGGTGATTGTGGAAGATTGCTCCACCTCATTGTCAAGTGAGGATGATGATGATCAATCCACTACAAGTTCACTTGACAAGGTTGATGATGATGCCACAAGTGTTGCAAGTGATGATGCTACCCCATGCACACTTGATGGTGATGTTGGTTCATGCTCAAGCTATGATGATGATGCTACTACAAGCTCTCCAACTACACCACATTGTTTCATGTCACAGGGTGACACCAAGGTATCAAATGATAATGTGGTTGATCATGTTGATTCATATGATGAGCTTGTTAGTAGACTTGCTAGCATGACCATGTCTTTAGAAAATGAGAAAGCTAAAACATTGAAACTAGAAAATAAAAACTCATTTCTAAAGAACTCTTGTGAAGAACGTAAGAAATTACTTGATGCTTATAAATCTTCACATGATGAGCTAAAATTGAATCATGAGACACTACTTGCATCTCATGATGAATTATTAGAACAACATGATTCTCTCATTAAAATGTTTACAAAGAAACATAAAAATAATGAGAGCTCATCACATGGGTCAATTGACCAATCACAAATTGTTGCTAACCCTTGTGATGTAGGCAAGAAGCATGTATCCACCTCATGTGATGATTTATTAGATATGTCATGCTCTTCACATATAGATGCTTGTTCTACTTCTATGTCTTGTGAGACTAACCTTTTGAAGGAGAACAATGAGCTCAATGAACAAGTGAAGAAATTGAGCAACAAGTTAGAGAGGTGCTACAACTCTCAAGTCACCTTTGAGCATATGTTGAAGACTCAAAGAAACTTTGGTGACAAAAGTGGAGTCGGCTTCAAGACTAGCAAAGTCAATCATTAAGAAAGCCGCAATGACACAAGTGGCATTGGCTTCCACAAGAGCAAGATCAAGGGCAAAAGATGGGGCAAGAGAAGATATGAAAGAGAGATGAAGAAGCAAGAATAAGAGAAGCTCTCTCATTTCATGTGCTTCAAGTGCCATGAAGTGGGACATCTTGCAAATGGTTGCCCCAATAAAGAAAAGCTCAAGTTGAAGAAAGAAGAAGAGAGGCTAAGGCATGTTAAGTGCTTCAAGTGCCGCACATGGGGTCATCTCACCTCTATGTGCCCAACCAAGCAATTGGTAAAGCAACAAGTGAAGCCTCAACCAAAGCCACAAGTTGAGCAAGAGAAGACACCTCAAGAGCAAATCAAGATCAACCATGCGGATGGTGGTGATTTGATGATAAAGAAGAAGAAAACAAGAAGGGGTGGAAAGGCAAGGCATCCAATGCAAACTCAAGATGCCAAGATGATGAGCAAGAATAAAGATGAGAAGAAAGATTATGCTCACATCAAGTGCTTCAAGTGTGGAAGTATGGGACACTTTGCCTCTAAGTGTCCTACCAAGCTTGAGAAAAAGGCTCAAGCAATTCATGAGAGGCAAGGCAATGAGAAGCACCACATGAGCAAGGAAAAGAAGGCTCAAGTAAAGAGGAAGTGCTACTCATGCCGGGAAAGAGGACACATGGCACATTCATGTCCCCTAGGTAAAATTTCTAAGCCTATTTCAATTGATGATCATGAGATGCTTAGAAAGGATGGTGATGGTACCTCAATGGTTGCTATTACAAAACATCCCGCTACTCATACTAAGGCTATGCCTAAGTATGTTGCTCCTAACTTGAGAGGACCCAAACTCATTTGGGTACCATCAAAAAGCGGATGAATGTGTGTAGGTACCATGGCATTGGAGGATTGATTCAATTGATTTCATATTGACCATCAAATGTTGAGTCAAGATATGAAGCCTAGTACATACCCAAACCCAATGCTATGAAAATTGAGTGAAGTCCAAGTGCTATCAATATACAAGTGCTATAATTCAAGTTGTTGGTGATTCATTGGATATATTTGATGACTTGCAAATAATTGAGTTGAAGCTTGCTAGTTGGATGATCATGAGCTAACCAAGGTATATCTCTTGTTGATCATTTTATTTGGGTGCATATGAGTTGATTGAATTGGATAAATATGCAATGTTGCTTGCTATGAGATGTTTGAATGGATAAATTAATTTAGTAATCAAGTTTGGATTGATTTGTGTTGGATAAATTCATGAGACAACTTTTAGTAAGTGGTTTTAATGGATATATGTCTTATGAAAGTATTCAAACAAGTTAGTTTCAAGTTTGATTCATATTTGATGAAGTATAGCTCAATTGTTGAAATTTGTCCCATATTGCAAAATCTGAGCTAGCTGTGATCTTAGCCATGTTTGATTAATTAAAACATATTGGATTGGCATGAAAATTGGTGTACATGCTCTAAACTTATGGTATAAGATGTTGTAGAAATTTCATAAAAATTGGATAAGAAATGCTTCAGTTTTGGAGTGGTTCTTGTCAGCTATAGTGCTGCAGTTTTCAGCATGTAGCAGTGGTGAAAGAATTGAAATCTGGTAGCAATCTAGAAGTCAAATGAAGCTCAAATTTTTACAGCTACTAGATAGATTATTTATGCACATCTCCACCAAATGTCTTGACATTTGGATTTGTACTTTGGGAGATATGCTTGTTTGTTTGAAGGGTACAGAATCTGCCAGAAAAGTGACAAACATTGGATTGATCTAGAGTCACTTTGATCGAAAGGTCCTCAAGTTGGAAACATGTCTATAAGTGTTTGAGGTACCTAAGTTTGATTTTGAGATGATCTAGAAGCATGACAAGTAAAGAGTACAAGGTCACTTGATTGTGGAGTGTACTTTGCACACTTTTGGTACTCAAATTGGAAGATCAAGATCAAACTCAAGATGAAGTTGAAGTTTAAGTTCTTATGACTATTGGAAATAGTTTTGTAGAAAGAAAAGGACTTAAACCAGTAGAAAGAAAAGGACTTAAAGAAGAAATCAAGGTTACTCATCAAGTTAAGTCCATCACTTGGATCAATCAATCATGTTATTTCAAGTGAGTATCAAGAATGGTTCTTGGAGAGAGGTCACTTCTCCCTAGTGTAGGGGCTTGCCGCCTATGAGTAGGTAAACCAAGTGTGGTACTTGGAAGGCTAACATGGAAGTGGTGATTCAAGGAACATTTAAGATGCTTAGTTGAAACAATCAAAAGGATTGATCAAGAAAAGCAAGCAACACCCAAAAGAGAGCTAGTTATTTCAAGTGGTATTCCAAATAGTTCTCTCATGCAAGCAAGAATCAAAAGATGAAGCAAGTCAACCACAACAAGAGAGTGCACTTGATCATAAGTGGTATTCATTTCACATGGGTAAAGATTGAGATTCAAATTGGTATCTATTGATCTTCACCAAGCTTTTAATCGGGCTTCACATTGCTATTGGAGTAATGAAATGGAATCTATGTGACTATCCTCTGCTCCAACATAGCAAAGGTATCATTGTAATGTGTATGATCATTTCATTCCTTACTAGTATGTGGTTAGTGCATATAGTACATGCTTCATAGGATCATGCATTATAAATGAAATATTTAAAATTCATAACCTACCACTATTGCTTGAATGATTATTTGATCTAGTGGTTAGTATGTGAATTTGTTCATGAGCTAGTGAACCCAAGTACTTGATTTAAATTTGGTTTGCTAAACAAGTAACAAGTACAACATTGACAAGATAACCCTTAAAAGAGGTGT